CCAAAAGTGCAGCCCCCCGGATACACAATCTGGGGGGAAACAAAACACATATTTGTAATGTACTAGAGGAGGGGATCATGGCCGGCCGGTTATTGAAGTTGCAGGTGGCCGACCGGCCCTTCCCATGGCCAGGCGGCCAAGGGTCAAAAGGGTCAAGAGGTATTAGTAGCCGGCCACCCCAGATTGGTGGCCTCCCATGTGTGCACAACACAACCATGTGGTCAAAAACTAGAGAAAGTAAACCAGGAGAGAGAAAATCCCACTTTTTGGAGGGGTTCAAAAGGGGAAAACACAATTACTGGCCGGCCATGTGATATTGGTGGCCTCCCAGGTGTGTACAACACAGATATGTGGTTTTGGGCTGGAAAAAGTGGCCTTAGGGTGGTCAACATTGGCTTTCAAGTGAGAAAAACGGGTGACGGAGGGCGATGGAGGAATAAAACTGGTTGACAGAACAATTGCTGGCCTCCCATCCTTCTATGACCTTCCTAACAATGAAACAGAGGTCCCTGCCAAAAATGAACCCAAATCGATGCAAAATGGAGGTTCGGGGGCCGAAACGCGCAGCTCGAGGCCCCGAAAACTGACTGTTAGGCATCGGAAGTGCTGTTCGACTACGAAGTTGGTCTCTCGAGCCACAGTGTCCCTAAAAAGGGAGCAAATAAGATGCATGCCAAAAACCGGAGCAAACGGAGGTGGTTAAGCGGTCCCGAACCGAGGCACACGGCCAACGGCTCCGAAAAACCGAAAACCGGACTCCAAACGGGCAAAATGGCCTACGACCACGAAACGTAGCCTACGGCCACTGAGAGATGATCTACGAGACCTCTCCCTCCCTTCGGGAAGAGAAAATAGAGAAAACAGAGCCTGGTTCGCAAACCGAGGCAAAGCATGAAAGAGTCCGGAAGTCCGGAGGCAAGGCCCGCAGCCGAGACTCTGAAACCTCTGAACGAGCACGATATGCAACATCACCAAGCGCTCAATCAGTGACGTCTGAGTCTTAAGGTCGGTCAAAAATGGGGTGTCTACAGTTGCCCCTCTTTGACAGAACTCGAAAGTCATAAGTGACGGGAGTGAATGTCAAAGCCTAGAGACGACCCATTTTTGACAAGGCCGAAGACTTAGACAAACAGTTGAGATAAACAGAGATGTGCCCACAGGCGTGCCCGCAGGCAGGGGCAAAATGCAAAATGATATGCACAAAGCCGAATGTAGCTCATGATCATACAAATGCAGCAAGCTGTAATGAGGCAAGTATTCGCAAATAGATGCAACAGTTTTAAGCAAGAATGCAAAGCAAAAACTACTTTTCATGCAGTTAGGAATGCAGAGAATTCATTCAATTCTCGTCGCGTCTTACACGGAGAAGATACGATACCTGCGCGATTCGTTTGGTCGCACCAGCCTCAAATGAACCGTACATACAATATCGTGCCTGCAAAAGAAAGAAACTCAACAAGCACAACATATCTAACAACATATGTTCAATGTGATATCGAATGCAAACAATCGCGGTGTCGATGGAAAAGTGCATCGCAATGCGGGAAGAAACGCGCGTGGCGACGCGAGTTTAAGCACGGAGGCTCGGTGATATCAAAGAGACGTGCATAACAATGCAAGTATGTGCATGAGAATGCAAGTTATGTGCATGATAATGCAGAACAAGCGTAAACCAGGATGTATGTTTGTCACAAAACAACGAGCAAGGAAATGCGCGTTTCGGCGAGGGCGACTCGATCGTGGCCTCCGGTTCACCTCCCGGAGAGGTTACAGCATGTTCAAAAGGATATATCTCACTTTCGATGAGTAATGATGAGACACGCATCGGGAGTTGAAGCAGAGGTTCCGGCGGAGCGATTTTGCGACAGAAAGTGCACTTCTCTTGTACTTTTTCAGGTCCCGAGGACTCCAATCCTCCCCAAAATTTACAGAGAGTTTGGTGGGCATCTTGGGAACACCACCGGCCATTTTTATGGCAAGGGGGAGGCCACCGGCTAGTTTTTGAAAAGGGAATGGCCGGCCTGCCAGAAAAAGTGGCCGGCCGGCCACTTTGCCAAATTCGGGGCAATTTTGTACTTTCACCCTCTTTTCTTTAAATCCACTCATCCAAACACTTTGTGCTCACAAGTGCAACTCCGAAATCATCTCTTCTAGCTTCCCAAACCATTTTCTCCCTCAGATCTGTGCTCCATACGCGTTTTCCAACGTCCCACGTAAGTTGTTTTTGCGAAATCTTTCAGTTTTAAGCACGTTGAACCGATTAAATTTTGATTTCAGGGCTTCTTTTCTCATTTTCGCCACTTGAGGTGAGTTTGTCTCAATATTTGGAAGATTTTCTCGGGAGTTGACTTTTGTAGACTTTTTCCAATTTTGGCTTATTTTTGCTCATTTTCGCCCCTTTTTGCAGATTTCTTGAAATGGCGGGTCACTTTCCCCACGGCGGAGGTTCTCCTGGCGCCGGAGGCGAGCCTGACATCATGTCTTTGCATCCGAGGGTTCTCCCCTTTATCCCCGAGAGGTACGCCCTTCAGGCTCATATCCTCTCGCGGGCTATTTTCTATCACTTTACCGATTTCGACGAGCGAGCACCCGGGGATCTCCTTCTGCGGGAGCCAGAGTATCACCTCCCCCATGAGGCACGACAGGTATTTACCTCGTTCTTACCTTTTCTGTAACATATTATGAATTTTTCATGCATTCTGTTTGCATTCTGAACACACGGTTCAATCACTTGAATTCCTGAACACTCAGCCCATAAATTGATTGTGAACACACGGCACACACCGGTTGAGGTTTGAACACGCAGCCCACCTACTGATTTTCTGAACACTTAGTCCGAATTGAAGGTGAACACGCAGCACACACTGATTGAGAGTTGAACACGCAGCCTAAAACACTGATTTTCTGAACACACAGCCCAAATTGAAGGTGAACACGCAGCACACACTGATTGAGAGTTGAACACCCAGCCCAAACACTGATTTTCTGAACACACAGTCCGAATTGAAGGTGAACACGCAGCACACACTGATTGAGAGTTGAACACGCAGCCCAAAACATTGATTTTCTGGACACACAGCCCGAATTGAAGGTGAACACGCAGCACACACTGATTGAGAGTTGAACACGCAGCCTAAACACTGATTTTCTGAACACACAGCCCAGATTGAAGGTGAACACGCAGCACACACTGATTGAGAGTTGAACACGCCGCCCAAACACTGATTTTCTGAACACACAGCCCAGATTGAAGGTGAACACGCAGCACACACTGATTGAGAGTTGAGCACGCAGCCCAAACACTGATTTTCTGAACACACAGCCTAGATTGAAGGTGAACACGCAGCACACACTGATTGAGAGTTGAACACGCAGCCCACTTACTTTATTTTGCACGTAGCCTATTCACTTTATTTGCACGCAGCTTATTCATTTTATGCTGAAACATGTATTCATTCTGAATGCAGGTGACTTCTCGCACTGTGCGGGGATTTGGCTCTACCGCGGCAAGAGATTGGTACGCCGAGCTCCCGGAGGCTGTTCGGGATTTGGTTGACTTGGCGGGGTTTGGGCCCTTCTGTACTGGGCTGTCTCGTTGTCCTACCCGGAGGACGTTGATGGCCGCCTTGGTGGAGAGATGGTGGGACACCACCAACTCCTTCCACTTTTCTGCCACGGGGGACTTGACTATGACCCCGTTTGACTTTGCCGTACTGACTGGTCTTGACGTGAGAGGTTGGCCCATCCCTTACGATGAGGACATGGGCCAGTGGGAGGCTGCCTGGATATATTTGCTGGGGGTTCGCCCGCCTGTTGATAGACCTTCGGGGAGAGTCCGATACACCTGGTTCTCTTCCCATTTCGGGCGGGTGGAGATGGAGCCCGGGACTCCTGAGGAGGCAGCACAGTATGCCCGCGGCTTTCTGATGTTCCTCTTCGGGACCACCTTGTTTGCCGACAGGGGGAACACTGTTGGGCTTTATCTGTTGAGTGCTTTGGTGGACCTGTCACAGGTCAGACGGTATGACTGGGGTGGCGCCGGCTTGGCTACCCTTTATTGCTACATGAGTGCTTATTTGGCGGCTATTGGAGAGCCTGGGAGGTACTTTCTGTCCTCTTGATTTACATTTGTGCTCCTCATTACTTGCACATTGCACACACGGCGCACTTTATACTCTGTATCGTGCACTTTGCCCTCAGCACTTCGTATTCTGCTTTGTTTTTCACAATTGTGGGTCTATGTGTATTTCCCGACATTGGCCCCGAAGTTGGTGGTAGAAGGACCTCTCGTGAACCCGTACTCACTTGTATTTGAAGGCCAGCACCGGCCAATACCTCGGGAGTCTCTCCTTTATCTGCGGCAGTACTTCGACATAGTGCGGTCGACGGAGGTATTTCAGAACTCTCAGTTCTTTCTGTTTTCATCTTTGATTTGTCCTGTACATTTTCGATTTCTGCTTGGTTTATGCGTCTGTTATCCGTAGATTACATGGCAGCCCTGGGCGCCTTTAGGTGAAGGTCTCCGATTCCAGTTTTCCGGAGGGTGGGGTGTCTCCCGGTACAGGATCCTGTTCAAAGGGCCAGTTGGTAGGGCCTGGTTTCTGGGGGACCGCTTCTTGCGTCAGGTCTGGGGGTACACTTCTCAGGACCCTCCCTCAGCACCCCCAGTCGATATGCGGATTGCTGATAGGCTCTCTTCCCGGGATGTTGTTAGTGCTATGCTCAACATCTTCCAACTGATGATAGTATAGTCTCTGCAAAAAACACTGTTATTCATAACCCTTTCATAGCCTTGGTAGGCACAGTTGATTTGAAGGAAGGTTTAGCCTCAGAATGCACAGATTCACGTGTAGCTCTAAGTCTAGATGTGCCATCCTCATCCTTTAAACCCTTGGTCCAAGACGCACAGCCACATACGGCCACTACTAAGAAATCCCCTGATCCTCTTCCCTCTCTTCCTATGACTATTAAAATATCCAACCCAGAAATTTTACCCAACTATGGAGATTCCAATGGAGAACCAGCACAGAGTCAGGGCTTGCATGATCTATTTTGCATTCGATCAAGAGAAAGAAGCCACTCACCTAGTAAGCATAGACTGGAGGATCAGCGAAGCTCGCCTCCTAATTAAGAAAGAGGAGATGAACCACTATGGCATCCAAAACACCATAGTTAGAGTGAGTTCCCTGAACTCGGATGTCTTCGATCGGATGAAAGTAAGGAAAATTCTAGGTATTCCTGATTTTGCCCATTTTCCTGATTTCCCAAATTCTGCCTCAATGAAGTTGCTCATATGAAACTGTCGTGCAGTCGGTCAAAGTTTTTAGAAGAACCATGAAGGAGCTTGAGAAAAACCATAAACCTTCTATTATTGTTATGATGGAAACCAAAATTGATCTTAGCTCAATGGGTTCATTTTTTAACAAATTGGGGTTTACTGCCTCTTCCCATATAGACCCTGTTGGTAAGAGTGGGGGCATTTGGGTGCTTTGGGACCTTTTTAAGGCTACGGTGAAAGCCCTTGAGGTTAATGCCCAAGTTATCCATGCAAAAATTCAACGTGATAACCATGCCGATTGGATTCTATCAGCGGTTTATGCAAGCCCGATTCCTAGAAACCATGACCTTTTGTGGGCTAACCTTGAATCTATTGCTAATAACATGAACCTACCCTGGCTTGTGGCTGGGGATTTCAATGACATAGCTTCTCAAGGGGAAAAAAGAAGTCTCAGCCCAACCTTCTCTCATGCTCGAACTCGTAGGTTTAATGCCAGAATGAATAGGTGTAATCTGATCGATCTTGGGTGCTTTGGGCCCCAACTCACTTGGTCCAACGGAAGGCAAGGGCTAGCCAATACATTAGCGAGACTTAGCCGTGCTGTTAGCAACTCTGAATGGCGTGTGGCTTTCACTGAAGGTGCAGTTTGTAATCTACCAAGAACCTACTTTGACCACCCTCCTTTGATAGTGTTCACGCAAGGTATGGACTTCTCTAACCCCTTAGCTAGACCTTTCAGATTGGAGGCCGCTTGGCTTATTGACAATACCTTCAAATCTATTGTTGAAAACTCCTGGGCTGTTAATAACGACTCAATTATTAACACTTTGAATTTGTTTACTAAAAATATTTCTGCTTGGAACAAAAATCATTTTGGCAACATTTTTCAAAAAAAAAGATGGCTTCTTGGTCATATTGAGGGCATCCAAAAAGCCCAATCCCATGTTTATTCCCACAATCTATTTTTTACTTGAAAAAGATCTTGTGAGGGATTATAACAATATTTTGTGCCAAGAAGAGTTATTGTGGTTTCAAAAGTCCAGGGCTAATTGGATCACCATGGGTGAGAGGAATATGAGATATTTCTACATCTCTACAACTGCTAAAAAGATGAGGATGAGAGTGGTTACTTTAAAAGATTATGATGGTGGGTGGATCTCTGACCCCATTGACTTCAAAAACCATGTTCATAACTATTTTTGTAACTTATTTAAGAAAGGTACCAGTATCACTCTGAGTTTTGGCCCTGACCCTCTACATCCAAAAATTAGTTTGGAAAATAATAGATCCCTCAGCAAGCCTATCTCTGGTAAGGAAGTGTGGGAAGCCATTAAAAGTGTTAAAGCCTTTAAAGTCTCTGGTAATGACGATATTCCATCATTCTTCTATCATAAGCACTGGGACATCGTTGGACCTTTTGTTTGTAAGTTTATTAAGAATTGTTTTGCCAACAAACACATTCCAGACAGCATGAATAAAATTCTCCTCACCCTTATACCTAAAGTTGATAACCCTGAATCAATAACCCAATTCCGCCCCATTAGCCTTTGTAATGTTCTCTACAAAACCCTTACCAAAGTTCTTGTTAATAGACTTAGACCCTTGTCTCGGGAACTTGGGTACGATTAGGGAAGGTCACTTCGTGAGCACCCCCGCTCGCCCGATCAAAGATCGGCCTCTACTAACCATGATATCTATTTTTGAAAACATTATGTGTTCTTATTCCGGTTATTAGCCTAGATTTACTATGTGATGCGCACAGCATACAAGTATAGACTGGATCGCCTGAATTGGAACAAAACATTTCATGTTTGTTTGTTTGAAAATGGTTTGATGGTGCTACTCGCAAGTAGGCTAAGACGTGGATTTGCCACCCTCAGGTGGGCTTAGAAAACATGATTTTGCCACTATCTAGTGGGCTTAAAACTCGCATTTAATGAATTGTTCCAATCCAAATAACCCAACCTTCACCCACAGGCACTCAGGCAGTTATATCACATAAGCAATTAGCCTCATGGTAAGCATGCTATCATGGCAGTCACTCACACACATGCAAGGATGCTAAAGCATAAAAACTTACCGAGTACTCCGAGCCAAAACAGAAGCTAGGTTAGAAATCCATGCATGATCCTAATTATACAGAAATGCCTAATGCAACACATGCAAAATCCTCACACGATTTCAGCGTGTCTGGAATTTATCTTAGGATGCATGGAGCACGCTCCTGATTAATTTTCTTTATTCTTCCTCCACTCACGAGTCCAACGAGATTGGAGTATGTCACCATTTTGTATCTATTGTACTCTCTGTTGCATCGCATCTATCATCTATTACATCTATTGCACCATATCTGTTTTATCGTCGATCTAAGGAGACCTTAAATCCTGCATCATCATTCGTGTTGTTTTGGGCATCGCACTTGCATTTATTCACACCATCTTGTGCACTTTCTAGTCTAGGAGACCTTAAATCCTCTAAAGGTGTAATTCCTTTGGTGTTTGTCGTGCCCGAACGACTTCCTGTGGTCTGGTATAGCCACCTGCCTATGTTTGCGCTGAGTTCCTAGAAGACCAACTGAGACGGTGGAAACTAGAGTTCGAATGGCTCATGCCTAGAACACAAAGGTTCGGGATTTCCGAGACTAAAGTCTGGTTTGAATACCCAGAGGTATATCCTCGGCTTGAATCTGTATGGCAGCCCCATAGATTGAGATAGCATGTGTATGCGCCTCAATTCTGGATACCGAATCAACCTAGTCTGTCACCCTGTTGGAGAATAGGGAAAGCTGCGACCATAGTCAGGGAGAAAAGTAGTACTTGCGATTCAACCAAGGAGAAGCGAGAGATCCCCAGCAGCATGAGGCACGATATTGCATGTACGGTTCATTCAAGGCTGGTGCGACCAGACAAACCGCACAGGTATTGTATTTTCTCCGTGTGAGACGCGACGAGAATTGAATAATTCTCTGCATTCTTAACTGCATGAAATGTAGTTGTTGCTTTGCATTCTTGCTTAAAACTATTGCATCTATTGTGAATATGTGCTTCATTACAGCTTGCTGCATTTGCATGATCATTGAGTCACCTTTGGCGTCTTGCATTGCCAGTTGCATTTTGCCCCCCCTGCCTGCGGGCGCGGCTAGGGGCACATCTCTGTTTATCTCACCTGCTTGTCTAAGTCTTCGGCCTTGTCAAAAATGGGTCGTCTCTGGGCTCTGACATTCACTCCCGTCACTTATGACTTTCGAGTTCTGTCAAAGAGGGGCAACTGTAGACACCCCATTTTTGACCGACCTTAAGACTCAGACATCACCGATTGAGCGCTCGGTGATATTGCATATTGTGCTCGTTCTGAGGTTGCGGAGTCCCGGCCGCGAGCCTTGTCTCCGGACTTCCGGACTCTTTTGTATTTTGCCTCGGTTTGCGAACCAGGCCCTGTTTTCTCTATTTTTTTTTCTTCCCGAAGGGAGGGAGAGGTCTCGTAGACCATCTCTCAGTGCCCGTAGGCTACGTTTTGTGGTCGTAGGCCATTTTTTCCGTTTGGAGCCCAGTTCTCGATTTTTCGGAGCTGTCGGCCGTGTGCCTCGGTTCGGGACCGCTTAACCACCTCCGTTTGCTCTGGTTTTTGGTACACACCTTATTTCCTCCCTTTTGAGGGACACTGTGGTCCGAGAGACCAACTTCGTGGTCGGACACCACTTCCGGTGCCTAACAGCCCACTTTCGGGGCCCAAAACTGCGTGTTTTGGCTCCCGAACCTTCATTCTGCATTTTTGGGCTCCGACCCGAACTTGAGATAGTCATATTTTGAGGTCCTTTTCATGTTTGATTGAGGACTTTTTGCTGTTTGAGATCTCCTACTGCCACTTGCTTCTTTACCCCTCTTTTAGGCCTTTTCTTGCATGATAGTTTAGGCCTACTTGTATTTATTTTCGTGGCTTGTCATAAACTACAAAGTGTCTTATTTTGAGCCCCTCTTCAACTTTGTTGAAGGGATCTCTTCGGTTTGAGATCTCCTACTATCACTTGCCCCTTTATCTCCCTTTTAGGCCAATTTTGGGGGGAAATTTGAATTTCATTTCCTCCCCATTTTTCCCCCTCTTTTCCACCCTCTTGTGTCTATATAACAGACCCCCCAGCTGTGTTTTAGGGGTTAGAAAATTTTGGTTTGGAGCTCTCACATTAAATCTCTCTCTCTCTCTCTCTCTCTACTCTAAGCCTAAAAAAAACCCTTTGATTCTTACACCATTTCCTCACCATCACCTAGCACCACACCACCTGTAATAACCCACATTCCTGTCTTAGTCATGTTCATGTACATTTGCATGATTTTTTTTTGTTAAGCTTGCATGTGCAGACTTTGACTTGTTTTGCCTAAGTGAGATCCGTGCCTTGTTTTGACGCCTTTGTGATTTGTCTAAGTGTTTTGTGCTTGCTTTGCTCCTTCCTTGATGTGAAGCCTAGGTCGCGCCAAGCCTAAGTTATGTTAGCCGATGTTATGCCAAGCCTAGATTACGTTATGCCTAGATCATTCCAAGCCGAGGTCATCCTCAGTCTAGAAGTATCTTGGAACCCCTTTGTTGACCTATACCTTTGCTTTGACATATTGGCCGAGATGTCATTATCTGGGCCGAGGCGTGAATCACCGAGGCCGAGATGTGTATCATCTAGGCCGAGATGTTGCCTTTGCACCCGAGTGATCTTGTCCTGGAGTGGTATGACCTAGACCGAGGTGTGGCATATCTAGGCCAAGGTGTGGCACAGCTTAGTCAAGTGTTGTCCTTCCTAGCCGAGGTCATTGTCACCTTAGTTGTCGAAGCTTTGTTCTTAGCCGATGTCACCACTTGCCGGAGTGCCATTCCGAGTAGCTTGTTAGATACGCTTTGTCAGAGCCTTGTCTCGTCAATCCATCACCTTTTTGAAGAGAACCAACCATCCGTTGCCACGTGTCCGAGCTGAGAGTTAAGTCAGCCGATAGAGAGAGAGAACCCATCATTTTGTTGTATTTTGTTTTGAAGAGTAGAGAGAGAAGCTCTAGGAGGGGGAGAAGAGTTCTTGAGAGAGAGTGGATTTCTAAGCTTGATTCCTAGAGATCAAACCGTTAGATCCGCGCTCTAAGGTTAGATTCTTGATCCGCTCATGTTGTTCCTAATGTTTATGTTATTGCATTGCATGATTGAATATGATTTGTAAGCCATGCATTGCTTTGAAGTTCGGTTCTAGAAAGAGAAAATGGAATTCATGTGTTCTTCAAGAAAAGCCATGTTTTGATCCGAAGGCTTATGCCTAGATCCATGTTTTTGTGTTTGTTCTTGCATGATTTTCAAGTATGGGTACCCAGGTCCATGTTTTCGAACTCATGGCATGAAACCTCAGATTTTTGTAACAAGTTACGATCTTGCATTCATCTTTCTCATGATCATGTTCATCATGTTCTTCATGTTCTTCAAAGGGAAACCCAGGTTTTCCCGGCTTTGCTTTTGAATGAGGCCATCGGGACCACACCTCGGCAAGGAGGTGTGGGACCTCGGCAAAGACCTGGTTGGTACCCAGCATGTCTTCCTGACATGTAAAACAGTGTTTTGACTTCCTGCATGTTTTCCCGAGATTATTTGCGTGCATGTGAGACTTGTTTTGAGAAGTATGTTCAGTATGCTTGCTATGTGTTTGTAGGACTTGGACCTTTGCCTTGAACCCGACGTCCCAAGAACTAGGGTGAGTGGTATTTTTAATAAAGATATGCTCTTAAGGTTTTGATAAAGCTTTGCCTTGTTTTGATAAAAGTATTTGTTAAGCATGAATGATATCCCTATTTTATGTATCAAGTATAAGCTTTGTTTTGAATGGCAAGTTATCAAGTGAGCTTTGTTTTGACGTCAATCTTTGAAAGTCCGTACGTGCCAGGGGACTTTAAGCATTGGTGGCACAAGTCCATACGTGCTAGGGGACTATAAGCATTAGTAGCACACATGTAAAGTCCGTACGTGCTAAGGGACTATAAGCATTAGTAGCACACATGTAAAGTCCGTACGTGCCAGGGGACTCTAAGCTTTTGTGGCACCTTTGTTTGTTTGGTCCGGAATGTCATCACCCCATGTTTTAAGCCGACGTATGTTAAGTATTCCAAGCAAGTTTTGAAAGATCAAGTTTGATGAACAAGGTTTATCTCATGTTTTGTACAAGCTATGATAAGTATGGTTTTGACAAGATATATTATGTATTGTTTTGAAAGACCTCGGGAATCATTCATTTAACCCCTTTATTACTTGTACCATTCACTGAGTATCCAAGCTCACCCTTCCTATGTATATATGTAGGTAACAAGCAAGAAGTCGGCTACGCCGAGATGTGTGTTTTATATGCATGTTTGGTCGGCTGTAAGGATGTCGGCAATCTGAAGATTTTGTACTCTTGATTTGTATTTCATGTGTTATATTTATGTCGGCTTGAGAAGCCTTTTTGCCAAGATGTAATATGTACTTTTGTACTCAAGTTTTAAAGCTATGTAAAGATGTATGCTATTCCATTTGACTTATGCACTGCTCTTATGGACCACTTGTATTTCGATTTATCGCTTCCGCATCTATGAGCCCTGTATATTATACTCTGATTATGTGTGAATTTTGGCAGT